ATCCCAACACTTTGGGAGGCCAAGGCAGGTGGATCACCTGAGGTCAGGAGTTCGAGACCAGCCTGGTCAACATGGTGAAACTCCATTTCTACTAAAAGTACAAAATTAGTCGGGCGTGGTGGCACATGCCTGTAATCCCAGCTATTCGGGAGGCTGAGGCAGGAGAATCATTTGAACCCAGGAGGCAGAGGTTGTGGTGAGTAGAGATTGTGCCATTGCACTCCAGCCTGGGCAGCGAGAGCAAAACTCCGTCTCAGAGGAAAAAAAAAAAAAAAGGAAGACTATGTTCTCTCTCTGCCATGTGAAGATGCAGTGAAAATGCAGTGGGCAAGCCTAGAGGAGAGTCCCCATCAGAACCTGCCCATGCAGGTTCCCTGATATTCAGCCTTCAGACAGAAATAAATTTCTGTTGTTTAAGCCACCAGTCTGTGGTATTTTGTTATGACAGCTCCAGGAGACTAAGACAGTAGGGTATTTTACATATTACCTTATTTAATTTCCTAATATCTGTATTTGTTCATAAACATTTAAACTTAGATTCAATTGTCTAATAACCACAAAGCCACTGCTTTTGTCCCTACAATGTCTCCTCCTACAGAGGACAAGGAATCTATAACTTGGCTCTGGTTCTGACTCGTGGAAACTAAGTATTTCCCCTTGGATGAGTTATTAATCTCCTCTAAACCCAAGTTGACTCTTCTGACACAAAAAGATGGAAACAGAACTCTCTCTAAAGTGCTTCTGCTGCATAGAGATTATTTAAAATTCATGAACGAGATTAAAAATACAGAGATAATATACAACACAAGAGGATTTCATCTTCATGCTCCAAAAAAGGTATCCTCTAAACTATAATATAAATTGCAAAGCAGAACAAAGTCAAAATAGACTATTATGACTCTAGACCTCACCAAATCATTTAGGGCAGACAAAAGCTTCAAAGAGCCATTACTGAATGTGCTGATGTGGTCACTGGACTCGGCCAGCCACTTACTTCAGTATGATGTCTCCTGGGGCTAGAGAAATAGCAAATATTCAGGAACTCATGTATCAGAATCCTTGACCTCACAAAAATGAAAAATTCTAACCCTCCTCATCCTTCTATAATTCTGAACTTAAACCAGCTGGAGGGCAACCCTAGTCACTACCTTTATATTACAAGCAAGTTCCAGCTGGTTTCATCAACAAAGATCCATTTACTGTTATATGGAACAATTTAATTTTCTACTCAAAACTGGATTTTTAACAACTACAAATGGCAAACATTACTTATTGCAGAAATCTGCAAAATGAAAAGAAAAAGACTAATTTTAATTTTTAATTTTAAAAAAGTGCACTTTTAGGCACTTTTTGCAAATATACAAACCACAAAAGAGACGTTACACATTATTCAGCACCCCTGCTATGCTAAGGGAACTTTGAATGTATGTAAATGTAAGCCAAAAACTCTTTTCGGAAAACCTCCACATTAAAAAAAAAAAAAAAAAAAATGGTGGTTGCAAAGCAGTGTAAAAAGGGAAATAAGATCCCTAGAAGGGAATATAATTACTATTTCCCATTAAAAGTAAAATAAAAAGTAACATTAAAAGTAACTATAAAATAGTTAAGGCAGAATTTGCATGTCACCATAACCTGCTGAAAGTTACTCTAAAATACTATTTCACACCACAACTTGATGCCAGAGATTTGCTTCCAAAGAATCTGGTGAACACAGCAACGGGTACAAAATAGTTCATAAGCTGATAAATGTTCAAGAGAGGGAGTAGAAGGGGGTTCAGTATCTTATTCTTTCTAACATCATATATGTTTGAAATTGTCTCCATTAAAATACTTTAAAAATTACTAGATATTATTGAACAAATTTAATTTTCATATCCTAAAAACAAAGAAAGATGAGTACCTTCCAATCTTCGAATTTTTGCTTTCACAGAAATAATAGTTTCAAAAGGTGAAACTCTCAGCTCAAAACATGTTCCAGTTAATGTTTCAATGAAGAGCTCCATGGTATCATAGAAATGAAGTCTGTAGTAATATGGTCCCATGTTATCATCATTGAAGAATGGAGGCTCTTTTCTGTTATCCATTACTTTGATTTTTCTAGTTCTTCTAAACTATGTCGTAGGCAACTATATTCCAGTTCTAGCCAAATCAGGTTTGAAGACTGGTAATATATATTGTTGTTCATTTTTTGAGTTTTGTACCTAAAAAA